GAACGTGGCTATATACACACCCGGTGTGTATATAAAATCTATTTGTCTTTTGTATACACACCCGGTGTGTATATAAAATCTATTTGTCTTTTATATACACACCCGGTGTGTATATAAAATCTGTTTGTCTTTTATATACACACCCGGTGTGTATATAAAATCTATTTGTCTTTTATATACACACTCGGTGTGTATATAAAATCTATTTGTCTTTTATATACATAACCGGAAAGTTGATAGGGCAGACATTCGAATGAGCTGTCGCCGGTGGGTTATTCAGAGTCACCAAAGGGACCGGGGCGAACCCCGTGTTGGTCTTGGTCTGATAAATGCACGCCAGACCGTGAGGTCGGCGCTTCTTCCGCATGTATTAGCTCTAGAATTACCACAGTTATCCATGTAGGATGTGACGATCAAAGGAACCATAACTGATTTAATGAGCCATTCGCAGTTTCACTGAGACAGTTTAAACTTGCACGTGCATGGCTTAATCTTTGAGACAAGCATATGACTACTGGCAGGATCAACCAGGTAACGAGGACGCCAGGGGCGGGCGACCGGTCTTGCCGCCGCCGCCGGGAGCGGAGGGTCCCGGGCCCCGCGCAAGCGGGGCGGTCCGCTCTCCACTCGACCGTCGGCACAGAGACGAGCGGCCGCACCGCCCAGGCGGTCGGATCTCTGACCGCCGAGTCCCTGTGTTGTTTTTTGATTTTCATCATCGACTAAGATAAACTTGAAGACCGAGGTTTAAACTTGGTGCCCCTGAATCCTCAAACACTCACAAAAACCCAGGTTTTGGGCCTATCAAGGAGGCTAGTATTTCGGTGTGTATATAAAATCTATTTGTCTTTTATATACACACCCGGTGTGTATATAGCCACGGCGTTATTTTATTGTTGTTTCTATCCCCATTTTTATGGTCATTATTTAGAGTTTTCGTGGAGGCTCGAGATATGTGTTTGTTTTAAAGATATTTAGAGGTGTGTATGCATTGCTAGTTTTTATTCTTTGAGACAAGTGTCTAACTTCTAATTTCTGTATATTAGTTGAGTGATGACTGATGCAGTAGTGAGGACTTCTGTCTGAACTTGACAAGACAGACTGGACCAGACCAGATGATTTGATGACCCATGCAAGAAGAATATCAGGTAAGAAAAATTCCAGTTCTGCATTTTACCTACCATTTACTTGGTATTATTTGAAACAAGTGTGTAACTTTTAATGTCTGCATAGTTAGGTGGCTGCTGACTTATACAGGAGTGAAGACTACTGTCTGAACCTGACAAGACAGATTGGACTAGGCCAGCTGATTTGAAGACCGAAGAGGAATATCAGGTAAGAAAAATCCCAATTCTGCATTTTAACTACAGCTATTTGATGTTATTTAAGGCAAGTGTGTAACTTGTAATTTCTGTATAGTTAGGTGGCTGCTGACTGATGCAGTAGTGGTGAATTCTTCGTAAACCTGACAGGGGAAGATTGAACCAGACCAGGTGATTTGAAGACCGACGATGACTCTCAGGTGAGAAAAATCTGAATTCTGCATTCAACCTACTATTTACTTTATTTGAG